CGCTATACTCCATAATAGTAGAGTGGTATGAAATGTAGATTTTATTGTTATATAATTATGTATGGAAACTGTACATATCTTATTGGGTGTTTTCGAATATTCACTCTTACAATTTTTACAAGTTAGTTTGGGTCGATTGGAACGGTGTGGAATGGTGATGCGCGCTGCCAAGTGGATCAAATGAAAAGAAAATGAAATAAGTTTGCGTCTTCAAATTTACCAATTAGTTTTATTTTGTTCCAAACGTATTATTTCAATTAGTTAGGAGTTTATGTTGTGTTTAGATACAATTTTCATATTTTAAATTTAGATTTATAAATGTTGTAGTTAATTGTTTAATAAAGAATTTTATTTTTAAAGGTCCGCACTTAAAATAAAGAAAAATGAGTTTTTCGTAACATTCCAGAGTTTATAGAAAATTGGGGCATTACACTATATAATGTGGTCTCGACTTGCCTTTCTTACAAAATCTTAGTATACCTTTCATTGGTATCACTTTCAAGAAGACATTTTCACAACTTCAAAATTCAGTTCTTTTCTTCGATTATCTGCATAACTCTTTTGTCGATATTGAACTGTTTTTTGGGATTTTTGATCTTAATGACTCAAAATTGTTCCATCGATGATTTCTGGACCTAAAATTCTTTTTTTCCAACTTCATCCTAATGAATCGCTGATCTACATTTTCTTTCATAGAGTGCCTCGTATGGTGTCATACCAATGGTAGACTCAAAATTGTTGTAGGCAAATTCTACCAAAGGCAAGTACAGCTCCCAACTTCCTCAAAAGTCTTATACAAAAGCACGCAACATATCTTCCAATTTCTGAATAGTTCTTTTGGATTGACCATCTAATTGAGGATGGTAAGCTATACTAAAATTTAATTTCTTTCCTAATACTTCATGTAAGCTTTTCCAGAATTTAGTGGTTAACCTCGAGTCTCTATCTGAAACAATGGATACTAAAACTCCATGCAATTTGACTATATCTTTAATGTATTGTTGTGCTAATTGATCCACAATAAACGTCATTTTCACTGGCATAAAGTGAAATGTCTTCGTTAATCGATCAACAATTATCCAAATGGCATTATTTCCCTTTATCGACTTCGAAAAATCAACTACAAAATCCATCGAAATATGTTCCATTTCCATTCTAGTATTTTCAAAGGATTCAAGAAAACTGAAGGTCTTTAATGTTTCAGTTTCACTTGTTGATAAACCATGTATTTACTGACAAAAACTCCAACACTTCTGTTCATGTTCCTCCAGAAAAATTCATCTGACAGCAAAAATGCCAACCGACCTCCTGACCTCCTGTATAAGTGCAAACACATTAGCTTTACTAGGATGTGGTCCTTTACCAGCTCCAACTATCTCATTGTCTCATATTCAATTCCTTCTAGGTGAAGAAATATATGAAACTCTTATGATTTGAATAAATCTCACACTTGCTTCCATATAGATAGTGCTACCATAATTTCAATGTGCGAACCACTATCACAAGTTCAATGGCATGAGTCTGGTAATTTTGTTCATGTTGTTCTAATCTTCAAGCAAAAGCTACCACATTTCCATACTGCATTAGGACACACCATAACCCTTGCTTATATACATTGCTATAGATCACAAAACCATTCGATCCTTCTGGAATTGTTAACAGTCGTGCCTTAACCAATCGATGTTTCAACTCTTAGAAGCTCTGTACACACTTATCCAACCAATGAAATTTTACTCACTTTCTAGTTAACTGAGTCATTGGTCCAACTATCTTAAAGAAGTCTTCAAGGAATCTTCGATAATAGCCGCCTATATTAGCTGATATATTCCACTTAGTTACTACCTCTACTTTAGCTGAGCCAACTTCAATCCCATGACCAGTAACTATTTGACCAAAAAACCCTATTCGGTCGAGCCAAAATTCACACTTCTTGGACTTGGCATATAACTTTTCCTCTCTTAGAGTTTTTAAACACCATTCTAAAATGTTCTTTGTGTTGATCTGTCTTGTGAGTATATTAAAATATCTTCAATAAAGACTATGACAAATCAATCCAGAAATTTATGAAACACCCTATACATCAAATCCATTAACACCACAAGAGCGTTGGCTATACCAAAAGGCATCACAATAAATTCGAAGTGGCCATATCGAGCCTGAAAAGTTAACTTTGATGTTGCACTTGACTTAATCTTTAATTGATGATATCCTGATTGTAAATCAAACTTAGAAAACATTTTCGCTCTCCTTGGCTAGTCAAACAAATCCTCTATTCTCAACAGAGGAAACTCGTTCTTATTCATTTCACGGTAGTCTATGCACATTCTCATGGTATTGTCCTTTTGCTTAACAAACAACACCGATACTCCCTATAGAGAGATATCGAGTTGAATAAACCCATTTCTAATAATTCTTGACTTTGGACTTTTAATTCTTCTAATTCTTTTGATGCCATTCAATAAGGTACTTTAGATACTGGTGCTGCTCAGGAGCTAAGTCTATCACAAACTCGATTTGCCTATCTAGTGGTGCACTAGGAAGATTTTCTAGAAATACATCTTCAAATTCCTGCACTATCGGTACTTCCCTCATCTTATATTCTTGATGCTGTGTCCTAAAACATTTACTAGAAACACCTCACATGTTTCTTTCTCTAATATTTTTTTTAGCTATAATGCTGAGATTACTCGTGGTTTAGGTTTAGTCTTTAATCCAAAGAAAACTAATTCTTCTTTTCCTAGATTTTTAAAAGATACTTCCTTCCCTCGACATTAGATGGTGGCGTTATTACAAACCAACCAATCAATGCCTAAAATTATGTCAAAATCTTTCATATCTATTATGAATAGATTTTCCTCAAATGCTCTTCCTTCAAGTTTTATTTGAATCGACTTAGCTATCTTATCAATGTTTAATATCCTACCTGAAGTAGTGCTAATTTCTAGTATACTATCAGACTTATCATATGCAATACTAGATTTAGCTAGAAAGACGATGAAACAAAAGAATGTGTTGCCCCGAGTCAAATAACGTATAAGAAGGAAAATTAGCTATCAAAAAAAAAAAAAAAAAAAAATTTTTAAAACAGGTGGTATTAGAGATTGTGCTCCAACAAATCAAGGTTATACCCCTTTGTTTTTGTGTTTGAGTTTTTGTTCTTTTGTTTTTTGCGTTTTTTTGTGTTCTTCGTGTTTTCCATTAGTTTTGAGTTTTAGATCTAAAATCTTAGGTTGTTTAATTGTATTTGTGTTTTTCTAAAAAAAAAAAAAAAAAAAAACTGTTACAATGTTGGGGTTCTTCTCTGCCTTTTGCTCAATTATGGCAAAGACTCGAGATTTCCCTTTGTTATTTTTATCCTGTTCCTCATTCTTCTTGCGAACAAGCTCTATACGATTTCGAGCAATGTGGCCTGACTTACTACACTGAAAACAAATATTTTTTCCCTATTAGACACTCTCATTTGTGTTGTTTACCACACTTAGGACAGGGTGTAATAAGATATGTACCCATCCTTGTAGGCATCATCTCCACTGTTTATTTTCTTATTCTGCCATTTTCCCTTTCCCTTATCCTGGTTATTCCACTTCCTTCTACTAGCCACAAACTTACTTGTTAGCTGCCTTGACCATGATGGTCTGTACTTGTTTTTATTCCACACATTTCAGTACTAGCCCTTTGATAACAGATAACACGAGCTCATTCCAACATTTCACTATAGGTAGTAAAACGGTGAGACATAAGAATTCTTCCTATGTCCCGATGAAGCCCTTGTTGAAATCTCTTTAGTTTTCTAGCTTCAGAACCAAATGTGGAGCATACATACTTATCTGGTCGAACTTTCTCTCATAATCAATCAAAGTCAAGCTTCCTGACTTTAACTATAAGAATTATGTTTTCTTGAAGTCCCTTAATGCTTGGGGAAAGAATTTCTCAATAACTTCTTTGAATTGATTTTAAGTCAAAGCCTCCTACTAAGCATTGGTCCTAGCTTGGGATATTGACTCCCACCAATGACATACTGCTCCCATGAACATAAACTTTGCACACTATACTTTCTGTGCATCATTAACATCTATAAGTCGAAAAATCCGTCCCAACCTTCACAGCCATTCCTCAACAACAAATGGATCACCCTCAACATAGAAAGAAGGTGGTTTATACCTTCTAAAAGTTTTCACAACTGAAGCTTGAGTCGAAGTAGCTACATAGTTCACTTGCGAGGCTTGCCTTCCAAGCTCTTACATCGCTTGCAACAAATCTCTTATCAAATCATTCTAATTTGGTTGCGCTATCCATTAGACATGCACATCACCAATTTAAGAACAACGTTTTAAAAAAGTTTTAAAAGAAAAGTGCATAAATCCATTTACAACCTAAAACCCCAAACTTAACTTAAGAAAGTTTGCATGTGACTTGAACTTAATTGAAACTACAAAGAAAAACAATTTATATTATTCTTATTTATTTATTTTATTTACCTATCTATAAGCCTTCTACATTCCCTCAATCTTCTTCCGAATCCTCTTCGGGATCCTTCTCTGGGTCCTCTTCGGGGTCTTCCTCTAATGCTTCCTCGACGAACCTTACTGGTTGATTTATCTCACAATCCCTAATAGTCAAATTACCTCATCGTCTATCATCACTCTTGAATTTTAACTGGAATGTAAGATTACTTCCCCAAGGTAGGTTTCCCCAACACTCTACTTATCACTTGGACTATGTAACCTAACAAATTCAGCAATCCAGAGAACACAATTAAAAAGCAAAGTTGGGATGCTTAAGCAAGTATTTATAAATCTATGCAATGTTGGGACAAGCAATCATAAATGTGATCCCAACGGGTAATCTAGATGGTAAGGAATGTTCCAGATTCTTTGATAGAACATGCCGTGAAATGCCAATAAAGGTATAATGATTGAACAAGTAGTAGATTTTCATGGAAGAATTTGCATAAAACGCAAGTTCGAACTCTAGAAAACTTCTGCTTTGATGATAAGAGATATTCATATAACATTTTTTCTATTAGAAGTCTGTTAAAGAATGTTTTAATCATTACAAAAGGATTCAGTTACTCTCTTATTGCATAGCAACAACTGAAAAATAAAATGATAAATAAATATTTAAATTGAGAATGCACCTAGATCATCTTTGACCTTGTTATCTGTGCATCGCTTGGGAAGAAGTAGCTGAACTTGCAAGTGCAAAATCTGCCATATCAATAGGAAAAAAAGAAAGGCTGAAAATCAGTTGCAAAGAAAAAGTTAATGATAAATCTATACATGAAAGTCAAAAGTGAGCCTACAATCAGGGCGAGGGAGAGAGAAGGAGATGGAAGCACTAACTTGTCAAAAAGTTAGTCTAGCACAATTATGGGATGTTTGATAAAGTAGATTAGATAGTACTTGACAATATTAAAGAAGAAAAACCTTAGAATTCTGTCCTTGAAAATCATTTAAATTCATTGTTCAACTTCATCAAAAACTAATAAAACTCTACTTTAAAAAAAAAAAAAAAATATATATTTTTCAAGAACAATATATCAATATTCTTCTAGAATATTAATTAAATATTGTGCTACTACAAGAGTAACAATGAACTATTTATAATAGACTTATCTACAATTAATATTTTTCTGAAATATTAATTATAATATTGTGCTACTTCAGGAGCAACAAAATGATAAATTATTAATTTAAAAAGTGAACATCTAAGTTTATTTAAAGGTAGAATTAGAAAAAAAAAGTTCAAATATACATGTGAATTCCATAATGAAGGTAGAATTAAAGGCATAAATTAATGTATATATATATATATATATATTTCGAGAAAGTATATTGTAGCTTAGCAATAGCAAGCTTTCTATCTGATCCTATAGATTTTCATATGACATGTACATATTATGCTAGACCAATACTGTTGCAACATAGAGGGAAGATTGAACGACAAAATCAACAGTGGGCATTTATCTCAAATAAACAACTAAAACCCTCAATCTGAAACTACAATGACCGTTAAATGAAGTGAGGAAACTGGTTCATTTAAGAAAACAAATGTAGCAATGGTACCTCTTCTTTAAGTAAAGGAGGAAGGCCCTCAAGTGAAACTAAGCTAGTTATCTCTTGAAAAACATCATTGTCTTTGAGACCCGTCCATGTTTGTGGCGGCAATGCCAGTAAAAGTGCTGTCAAAACATCATCGCTTGTTGGGTGCACTGCGGAGTAACCACATGAGCCAGCGCTGCAGCAGTTGATCACATTCCCAGACGCTATCCAAACAGGCTTGTCACTATTGGACCTTTGGCATCTCACACCTGTCTCCCGAGAACAAACCCTGTCCGAACCAGATTTCCCTGCCAAAAACACTGCCCCTTGGCAGCAATCACTTGCTGCAATATTTGGCAAACCATCTTGGTTGTCAATTGTCATTTTGTTCTGGCAGACATTTTTTTCTGAAGATAGAATATCTGTCACAAGCTTGTAAAGGTCGGTCTCCTGTATTTGTTTCAAGACTTCATCCTGAAATATGGAGTGATTTTAATGGAAAAGATTTAAAGATATCGGTGTATGATATTATGGACCAGAAGTCATTTCTTTCTTTTATTTCCTATGTTTCTACCTTGATAGAAAGCCTCACTTTCTCTTCTTGGCTTACGCCTTGACTACCATCCTCTTGTCTGCAAAACTCTGCCACCCACTTAATGAACTCGGCAAAATCTGGTGGAAGAGCTGTCAAAACAGTAGAGATGATGTATTTTACATCCTTCACGTTGTTTGAACTTAACAGCATTGGAACTTCATCCACCAAGTACTTGGCAGTACGAATCCAACTCTCATGCTTGCAGCTCTGCCAAAAGTATCAAATTAGGAAGTAAATAAACTGCAGGGAAAAATAGTTTCAAACTGACAAATTGTCACGTTTGGTAATATGAGCTTCACAGCACTGGATATTATTAACAGAGAAATAGAAGTTACAATCTAGTTCTTTGTCTTGAATAGTAATGTTTAATAATGCGTACTAAACATCCTCTACATGTACTCACCACACACAAGGAAAGATACTCATAAATGCACCACAACAAACGGTAGGTCAGAGAATCAAAACTAAAGTTTTTTATTTTTATTTTATTTTATTTTATTTATTTATTTATTATTTTTATTTTTTTTGTGTTGAAGTCCTTCAGCTCCATCTGAAGCAATAAAATACAACCATGTAGACATAGTTTCTGAACAAGACCGGATCAATCCAAAATAATTTTATGAAAAGGACGTGAATAGCTTCCTTCATTTTGTGTAAAATTGACAACCATTATTATAACATGATGAGAAGCAATTGATTTCTTGAAAAGGCAAATTGAACTTAAGGTTTAGCCTAAATCTTTTGAATTGTTATTTATAGGATTATATGCACTTATATATAGAATTATATAAGGATTTTAAATTTTACCTTGTCAGTTCGAGACCTAGGAAATGTATACTACAGCACTAATTCGTAACACCTAGGGGCTAAGAAGCACTCGTTGGTATCAACCTCATATTGGTCACGAAGACAATTGTACGCAAGTTGGGTACGAGGCGACATGCTCTTGAAATGCTTTAGCTATTAATTCCAGTATACAACGAACACGCCCAACGACAATTTTGGAATCAAAATTTATTATTATTTCTTTTTAGGTTCAAGGTTGGAGATGAAATAGGAAAGAAGTTCAATTAGCCTAGAAGAGAGAGAGAGAGAGAACAAAACTTGTGTTTATGACCTATCTCATTGTTTATGTGCCTGTAATGTTATTTCTCCAATTCTTATCATACTCAGGAGTCCAACTAAAATCCACTAAACTTTTCTGTTAGTTTTTCTTCAAACTCTCGCAGCAACCCTATATAACTATCAAACGTTTTCAATTTCTAATTACAATAAAATTCTAAAGATATAGTACTAAAAGATGATTTTTTTGATCTATGGATCTTTTAACTTTTTGAAAACTTCCTTGCATGATCGTCCATCACCTGTTGTATGCATTTCCCAGGGCGTTCATGCTTCATAGTTTAATTACCAAGTAAATATCCATCAATGAGTGACATGAAAAGGAAGAATAACTAGTTCAAAGAGCTAAGCTCACTTGTTTCTTCAGTACTAAATAATATTTAATATTTAATCTAAAATAATGTTCCAGTTCCATGTAGTTTAGCTCCAAAGGAATGTAATACCATTTATTAGGATCATACCAGGCTATAAACCAATAATGGTGCTGTCTGACGCCTAGATACAAGCATGAACCTGAAAATCATCACATCTAAAGTTTATTGGAAAATGTAGATTGGTGTTAGAATCTGTTGCAATTATACGAATAAAAATATTTACTCGAGTCATATACATCAGCCAACTGCAGGTTACTAACATATAATACATGAAAAATGTAAATATCAAAGATACAGCAAAAATGCAGTAATTGTGAGAACAATGAATGTGATTGAAAACCTATGATGCAGTGCAAATGAATTCAAATTTTTAGTAATTTCCACTATCTATTCCTCCTTTACGAATAGAAGATCAAGATGGAACTGTAAGTTAACTCAATGGGTGATTTCGGTCTCCGATAAGCTTAAAAAATTTAAGCCAGACATATTTAGTTAAAATATCAGCAGACGTGAACATACAAAATGTACTGACTAGACGTGCATCACCATACAACTGCTTGTTTCATGAATGAATAAGATGTCATTTTCAATAGTCAGAAAAAGGTCCTCTATTATAAGATTACTTCTATAATATGAAGCTGCTTAATGATGTTTCTTTATCTGCTTCAGCATCTTGTTGTCTGTGCATTCATCAATTTTTAAGACGTAGAATTACTGAACAGATAGTAACTACCAGTACGTTATCATCATACCAACATTATATAATCTCAGAAAAAAAGAGTTGAGAAATCCCTTCACATACTTACCCTCTGCGTTGTCCAGTTGCCCAAACTACAGTATCCATGGCTTTCCAAAGAAGTGTGAGTGGAACCCAATGAGGAGGATATTTAAACCTTGCAACATCTAGAATAAGTATCATGTCCTTTCCAGCATGATATCCACCAATGGGTGAAAAGTGACCAGTTCCAGTCTGTAGTAAATTTGTCGATCCATTGTCACATTCGATGATGTGTAACCGAAACAAAAGAAAATCAAGAACTATTAAACCTCTCAAAACTACAAGGTAATTCACCAAAGCACGAGTGCAGAGAGAAACAAAATCTCAAAAATCTGAATTTGCACGCTAATAGTTTATTGACAATATTTTATTTAGAAAGGCCATTCATGTGAATGAGACACACTTGACCTAATGTAGCACTATGTTAGACACCCTCAACAACCAATGTGCACACAAAAATTTAAATATTGCCCTAAGCCATTAACATACAATAGAAGTCTGAGTAGCTCATAGTACAAGAATTAAATTTTATTAATTTACTAAGATATCAAGATACATAAAGCAGTAACCAAAATTTCGGATAATGCGGGGTAAGAAAGTTCATCTGAGAACTTAAAAGATAGTAACAAGCAAACAAGAAGTTACGTATTTAACCTGGTCAAAGGCTTCTCTATGATACGATGAGATCACATGACAATCTTCTGAAGTGGAGCATGATATCACGTACTTACGAAATTCATCCATAGTGCTCTGATTTGTACGAAATGCTTCAACATTGGCTCCCGCACATTGAGCCAAACATAGCACCTGCCCAAACGAGATGCCTTTATCTTTAACATTTTCCAAAGGCTCACAACAGTCCAACATTGATTCATCAAACCATCTCCAAGATCCTGAGATTGGAGTTCTTTTAAGCTCGTGATGCAAATTTAAAGAATTTCTAAGATATTAAAGTTGTTTAATAAAAGATAATAGAAAAAATCAAGTTCAGGTTTGAAATTTCAATAAAATGCTGTATACGATAATAGAAGCCTCCAATAAAGACTTATCGCAGCCCTTCTCATCTGTACACTGGTAAGTGAAGCACCTCAATTTTTCAACCATGTCAGAGAAATTTTTTGCAATTTACTATTTAAAATGATATAATATTAAGGATTATTGTATGTGTAACAGTGTACCCAATAGATTACTCACCCCTCATGTGGGCCATCCTCCATGTGAGGGGGGTGTAATGCTTTTTAATTGAGAGAGGATCGTATATATTTCTTTTTACATAACCCAATCTGAAGAAATCAAAATTGAAAAACAACCTTCCAGGATCCAAAAAATTTTATCTCAAGCAACATTTATGAAAATAAATGAAAGGATTTTGATGAGCTCCAAAAAATACATTGAAACGAAATTTATCTTAAGTGGATGATAAGGAAAATAGAAAAGAGATAGTTCAATTCACTTCTATAATCATCACTGATGATTTCAATAAGCTCACGAAATTTAGGGATACAAAATTCTAGTTGAGGAAGTTGATTATTAAAAAATGACTAACAAGAACTTTAAATTTTCGAATTTCAATACACGGACTGCAAGAAATATAGTAGCCTCCAATATGCAAGGTACACTAAAAATCTCTCCTCCCTTCTGGCTATCCCTCCTCTTTTCCGACCGCTTTTCAACCCAGTCCTAGGAACTTTTGACTTTTGCATCTTATTATTTAACAAAAAGAGGGTAAACCTCGAGATACAGCTCAAAATCAAAAAATTTTGTCCGAGATCACATAAAATAAGAATTCATCCGCCATGACACCTCCCAGACACAGAAGTATGATAGCTAAAATATGGACTTTTAATACACTGGATTATCAACACAAGAATAGCCCTTCAAAATTGTCATTTGAGTTGTAATAGAGATTTATAAAAGAAATGGACATGGGACGAAGTTCTTATCATTGAGAGCTTCCAAAATATTTATCAACTTGATTTTGTGAAAAAAGGACAAATATACTAGATTAGAGCACTTACACCGTTGCCAAGGTAGGTTCAGGAAAAATTTGACAGGAAAATTTTTCAAAGAATCCAAAACGTCATAAAACGAGGAATTCATAAAGATCTGGAATTTTTGTTAGACTCCATTGTGACTTAACAAGATTCTTACCCCGTAACCTTCAACAATATATCACATTAGTCATTTTCAGTTTGGAAGGTTGGATTGAGACACTAGGTTTCTATCTTCCCATTCTTACCTCACTTAGAAAACCTCCAAAGTCATGTTAATCATATTCAAGCATAACATTTCAATTAACCAAATATTTGTATCAAAAGAGACATTTGAAACATCATGGTGATAAATAACCAAATGAACTCTTTAAGAAATGTAAATATCAGAGAAGTTGCAGTTTGGTGAAAGATTTGAAAATCTCGATAAAACAAGAAAAAACTGAATTACTAATTGAACAACATAACCCTTACTACAGTGCATAATAATATGATTTACCTTTCCATTTTCTCCCTGGATCAATAGCAAGGGCATTCAAGACCATTGAAAGGCTAGCTAAACCACAGTATGCTGGTTCAGATTGTGTCTGAAAGTAAGATATCAACTTGAAAAAACCTTCCATAGTTCCATCGTCAATGGCCTCTTTGAAGAGTTTCTGCAGTGGAGACAGCACAAAGGGATCATACTGAAGATTGGACAAATAGCTAACCGTTTCTAGTGATTCCACACCATCAACATATCAGTAGCTTAGAAAGGACACAACTTTGTAAACTAAGCATATCATTTTGCTTTCTACCTCTTCAAACTTAAATTTTTCCTTTGAAAAAACAGAAGCATGGATCTACGTAGAGATGCACAGCATACCAGAGAAGCAAGTTAGTTTACATTATTAAATCAATAAATTACACTAATAACATCCAAATCCGTCTAATTTTAGCCTTACATGAGTAGTTTGCCACTGGTGTTCTATTCAAAAGTAAATTACAGAATTAGTTCTAAACAGAATATTCACTTTCTAGCAACTTAAGAACTCCCATCTGAGATGGTCTGAATGGTCAGTGCACCAAAACCCCAGAAAAGCTAAATTATATCTCAATGTTTTGCATTTTATGCTGATCCTGTAATTATGTTCTTAGGAAAGGAACTTGGCTCTGATAGGAAATGTCTTCTGAGATTTTCACTTAGGAGCAAGAAATTGACTCTAATACGAAAATGACTCCGGAGATTTTCCCACTTAAAGTCAATTTTGTAGTAACCTTTTTTATCCTTTCTACACTTTCCCTTTCCATACTGCTCATGTTTCCACTAGACCAATAGAGGATCTACACCATATGAACTTGTCTTTGTTGATTGGCTTTGTAAACATATCAGCTAGGTTGAATTTTCTGGATATCTACACTTCATTCTTCCACCTTTTCACTTAAAAAGTGATACTGAATTTGAATTTTTTGCCTTCAAGTGAAATGTTGGATTCTTTGCTAAGCGAGGCGCTTTGAATATCACATAAATAAAGATATCTTCTCTTGTTTGTATCTGAGCTCCTCCATTAACATTTGTAACCAAATTACCTCATTACTAGCTTGTGTAGTTGCGAGATAAGATTCCATTGTAGAAGTAGCCACAATAAGACTATAATTTGAAACCCAACATGTAGCTCCTCCAGCAAGAGTTGAAAGATTTTTAAACAAAGAAGATGGAGGCTTATGTTTTTCCTATTAGCTTACTTCACTGGCTGATGTATTTCATCTCAAATATATAGAGATTACAAGAAGTTTCTTGCCAAAATAGTCAACAACTTTTTACCTAATACAGCTTTCCCTAAAACAGGCATAACCATGTTTTGGTAAAACTTCTAGAAAAAACTACCAGGTTTTATCCTTAATTTCAAGCTGATAAAAAGTACAGAAACAGAAGATAGTTTTACAACAAAAGTGTCAATATAACTTCAACGCTCCTTCTTGGCACTTTTGCTAGAAACACCAAGGCTGTTTCTAAGTGTTTCAAACCTTGTTTTAGCCAAGGATTTGGTTAGAATATCTGCATTTTGATCCTCTAAATTGCAATTTACAAGTCCCACTTCCTTTTCTTCTTGTGCTCCTCTGATCGAGTGATACTTGATTTTGATATACTTGGTTCTTCCATGAAACACAGGATTCTTCACCATAGCTATTGCAGGCTGGTCGTCACAATAGATGATTGTTGCTTCTTCTTGCTTGTGCTTGAGATCCTCTAACACTTTCCTCAACCAAAGTGCTTGATTTGTAGCTTCTGAAGCTGCAATGTACTCAACTTCTGCTGTGGACTGAGCTACAATTTTCTGCTTCATCGAATTCCAACAAATAACACTTGAACCAACATAAAACACATAACCAGAGGTGCTCTTCATGTCTTCAGAAGATCTAGTCCAATCACTATCAGTAAAACCAATCAAATTCAGAATTTCAGACTTTCTAAACCAAATTCCCAACTCTTCAGTCCCTTTAATGTATCTCAAAACCCTTTTTGCTGCTTGAAAGTGAATTTCACTTGGCTCATGTCTAAATGTTGACAATAGATTTGTAGCGAATGTAATACCTGGCGTTGTTTCTGTTAGATACAACAAGCACCCCACTAAACTCCTACAAACTCTAGCATCTATCCTTTTAGCTCCATCTACCTTCATTAATTTTGCATTCTGAATTAAGGGAGTGCTTATTGGTTTACAATTTTCCATATTGAACTTTCTTAAAACTTCCTTAGCATACTTTCTTTGGCAAACAAAGATTCCTTGCTATGTGGATGTATCTCTATGCTAAGAAAGTATTGCATTTCCCCCAAATCTGTTATATTAAATGCTTTCTTCAATTCTGCTTTCACTTTTTCAATCAAAGCAAAGTTGGTCTTTCGGGCATTTCTTTAAAAGGAAATCTGTTTTCGAAAAATTCAGTCCTCTAGTTTCAAAAATTATGTTATTTTTTATCAAATCATTTTTAGAGTCCATGACTAAAAATCTGTAGGCTAATTATGAAGAGCATAGTCTACAAAAACACAATCAATAGTTTTCAGACAAAGTCTAATTCTTTTAGGTGCTGAAATAGAAACTTTAGCCAAACACCTCTACACTTTAAGATATTTATATGAAGGTACTCTATCTTTCCACATTTCATAAGGGGACTTATTTATTTTTCTTACTAGAAATTCTGTTAACAATATAACATACTGTAAAAAGGGCTTCTCTCACATGTTAGAAAATAATCCGAAGAGTTTGGCATTAAAATGACCATATAATTAAAAGTTCTATTTTTCCTTTCAACTACACCATTAGATTGGAGAAAATAAAGTGAAGTAGTCTCATGAACAATACAATTATCAACACATAATTTATCAAAATTACCCTTATATTCTCATCCGCTATCAAGTCTTAAAACTTTAATTGTTTTGTCTAGCTGTCAATGAAAGTTAAAAAATATTTATTTCCACTACGAGTAACATATCCTTTTGAATTACATAAATCGGAATGTATTAAACTTGAAAATAAAGTAATTCTACCAACATGAGGAAATGATTTTTTTAACATACTTAGATTCAACACAAGTTTCATATTTTGTATTTGAAAAATTATCAGTTTTGGGGATATTTTCCAAACTTATTAATTTTTTAATAGAAGTTAAATTAACGTATCCAAGTCTAGCATGTCACAAATAATAAGAATCCATCAAGTAAACTGAAGAAGTAGATGCTTTATTGTTAAGGAAAAAGCTCTCTGCACAAGTGATGCGGACATCACTTATATTATTATCGCACTATTTTACTTTTCTAGTTATTAGGCTTGTATTATTGGTTTGGCCCAAACCCATCACTGGTAGGGTTATGTTTTTACTATTTATATGGTTTTCAGTTGTAATTTCAGTAGATGATGATGAATTAGAATTGAAATATTTTTGGCTTGCAGCCGTTTTCTCCCTCCCCTCTCTTCCCCTAGTTTCTTCTCCTCCTCCCCGTTCCTTCTTCTTCTCCCCTAGTTTCTCAACTTCTTCCCGGCTACTTCTTCTTATTGGAATCCCTCAATCTATCCTACATCAAAGTGGTATCGGAGCTAAAACTTGGAAAATACTTCACTCGTACTCCTGAAATTTCCTCCTGTCATCTTCACAAAACACCATCCTCCTGCGCCTCACACCAGATTACAAATGTTTTGTCAAAATTCATTCACAGCTCCCAGCATCAACCTTGTTAACTCCAACCACTCCCACCACGAGCAAAACCAACAATTACTTCTACTGCCCCATAATTAATTTTCACTGCAACATGCTATCCCATACACTTAACCTACGACAAAAAAAACCACCAAAGACCGTTTTCACAAACAGTAATCATCACCACAGAAAGCCTACACCGTCAGCCACTCCGTTGCTGAACGACACCCACCCTGCCACCCCAAGTTCTGACGTCTCCTGCAATTTCGAGCAACTCGCGACACCCAAACTCCCAGAAACCAACTACTGAAATCAACTCTCAGTAACTTGCCACTGCAAAACCGCCACCAGTCTACTGAAATCAACTCTCCAGCACGAAATTACAGCGACCAGAAATTTTCACATTGCGTTTCCGAACACGAAGTACCCACCCACGACCGCCTGCTCTGATTATGACACCGATGGACACCGACCGCCAGTCATGCTTCCTTCATCCATTGCTCAAAACCAGTCGATTTACTCGTGAACACCGCCTCCTGACTCCCAAGGTTGCCGCGCCGTCACCTCTTCTAAGAGTGGGTAGACGTTTTTTTTTTCAATTTGGAGATTTTAGGTATATGATTTTATGATTTTCAACCTGGGCCTTTTCAATTGGGCCGTGATTACTCTGGATTTTGATATTGTGGATTTGAAATTTGATTTTCATTTTTGCTGTAATTTGGACCTGATATTGTAATACAAGTTTAGTTAAAAAAAATATTGAAAAAAAAATAATAAATCAGAAAAGATTGTCAAAAAAAATGTATTTTCTATTATTTGCAGGTACCTCTTTTATTCCTGTTGATTTGACACATCTACGTCAACGGACGAAAGGAAAGTTACTATTTTTATCTTTGGTTTATATTACTGTTTCGTTTTAAAATTGAATCAATATTTTTGTGTTGCTGCTGATCTAGTTTTTACATAAACTTACGTAATTGGATCCATTAACCTCGTTAAATCTCACTTTTACCTTGCTTATTTTACATGATTAGGGTTTGACTAGTATTTGACCCTTGCTTTGCTATTTTACATATACTAGCAGTATTAGCTTGTTATATTTGGATTTTAATCCCAACATTTATTTAAAAAAATAAAATAAATAAATAAAAATAAAAATAAATAGCTCAAATTTTCATTTTCCGTTACTTGCACTTTTGTTCGTTGATCTCTCTATTGCATGTCATTAAGTTGTTATTACAGTGCATGTAGTTACATATTGGTCATCTTGTCACTTCTAGCTCCAGTACCTTAAACATGGACCCCTCACAATTCAATGCACTCACACGACAAATAGCGACTATTCAAACTCAAATGACCGCTACTCTTGAAGAGAGTAAGGCCCTATCTGTTAGTTTGAAAAATTTTAAACACATCCCTCATTCAATTGATGTTGATAATTGTAAGGTGTCCCATAATAGACAACATCGTCGATAAGGTA